TTCTGTAGTTCCCTAATAGAAATGATGCTTAAAAATTACTTTTCCGTCCTCAAAAACTGCCTTAACACTTTAGTCAAATTATAATTTTAATGGAAACTTCCTTGTAATATTAATTGGTCTTGCCACCTGAAACACAGCCAACACCATATCACACCCAACTCAACCTATTTTATTCTCCACAGCACTAGGTGGACTGCTAAACATATGGTAGGTACCCAAACTGTTTCTGTTGATCTAAAGTAAAAAACTCTAGCAAAAGGAGACTGAGGCTTCACTTTTTGAGAAAATTGCTCCTTTGTCCCCATTCTTAATCTGGAAAATCCTACTTATTCTTCTGCTGTTTATCTAAATGTTTAGTCTTTCCAGAGAATTCCCCTAACTTGACCTTTCACCGAATGTAATGCGTATTTTATTAAAAACCAATGTGACCTTTTAGTTTTTTTAATCACAATTTGGAATCACATATTTTTGTGATTTGATAATCTAACACTCCCTAATGGTCCCCAAAGGCAAGGATTGAGACACTTCTGTTCTGAGCTATATTCCCTAGTGTCTAGCACATAGGAAGTACTCAAGAAACATCTGTTAAATTAGTGACTTAATAAAGGTTCTATCCCATTTTGCTAAGGCAATCTACAGTAGCCTTAACCCCTAGTGATCAGAACAGTAAAAAGCAACTTTTCTTCACAATAAAGGGAGAAGACTCTGACACTGTCATTTGAATGGAGAGCATTAGAAAAAGAATAACAGCTCTGTACAGCAGAAGTGAAACTAAGGCTTATAGAAACTAATTAACAGTTAACACTGACATATAGTATTTACTATGTGCCAAATACTACTTCAAGCTTTTTACATATATAACTCACATAATCCTCATAACGACACTATGAAAACTGTATGATTACCATCCTTACTTCACACATGACGGAACTGACGTATAGAGACACTAAAAAACTTGCCCAAGATTGCACAGATATAAAGTGGTGAAGGCAGATTCCAAACCCATGCATTTTGTAGATTCCCAATACTGTGCTTGCTGTATTAGTTTTCCATGGTTGCCACAACAAATTGGTATAGAGACACTAAAAAACTTGCCCAAGATTGCACAGATATAAAGTGGTGAAGGCAGATTCCAAACCCATGCATTTTATTTTGTAGATTCCCAATACTGTGCTTGCTGTATTAGTTTTCCATGGTTGCCACAACAAATTACTACAAGCATAGTGGCTTAAAACAACAGATATTTATTCCCTCATAGCTCTGGAGGTCAGAAGTCTGAAATCAAGGTGTTGGCAGGGCCATGCTCCCTCCAAGGGCTCTAGGGGAGGATCCTCCCTTGCCTCTTCCAGCTTCTGGTGGCTCCTGGTGATCAATGGCTTGTAGCAGCGTAACTCTAATGTCTGCCTCCATCTTCACATGGCCTTTCCTAGTATCTCTGTGTCTTCCCTCTCTTTTTTTTTGTCTCTTATAAGGACCCTTGTCATCAGATTTAGTGCCTAAATCCAGGATGATCTCATCTCAAGATCCTTAATTGATTTACATCTTCAAAAACCCGTTTCCAAAAAGGTCACATTCACAGGTACTAGGGGTTAAGACACAAACATATCTTTTATTTCCAGTAGTTATTGAGATATAATTCACATACCATACAATTTGCCCATTTAAAGTGTATAATTTAATGGCTTTTAGTATATTCACAGATAAGTGCAACTATCACAACAGTCAATTTTAGAATCTTTTCAAAAAGAAACCCCATATCCATTAGCTATCACTCCTCTATCGTCCACCTTCCCCTCCTCCCCAGAACTATGTAACCACTAATCTACTTTCTATCTCTATATAGATCTCCTTATTCCAGACTTTCATATGAGTGGAATTGTATAGTGTGTGGTCTTCTCTGAATGCCTTCTTTCACTTAGCATGTTTTTAAGGTTCATCCATGTTGTAGCAAATGTCAGCACTTCATTACTTTTTACTGTTGAATATTCCATTGTATGAATATAACACGTTTTGTTTATTCATTTATCTGCTGATGGACATTTGGATTGTTTCCACTTTTTGGCTATTATGAATAATGCTGCTGTACTCAAGTTTCTATGTGGATACATGTTTTCATTTGTCTTCAGTACATACCTAGTAGTAGAATTGCTGGGTCACATCATAACTCCATGTTTAATTGTTTGAGGAACTGCCAGACTCTTTTTCCAAAGTGGCTGCACCATTTTCTATTCCCAGCAGCAGTGTCTGAGGGTTCCAGTTTCTCCACATCTTCATCAACACTTGTTGATATCTGACTTTTTATTCTAGCCATCATAGTGAGCATATCTCATGGTTTTAAATGCATTCCTCTGATGAGTAATGACTTTCAGCATCTTTTCATGTGTTTACTGTCATTTGTATATCTTCCTTGGCAAAATGTCTATTCAGATCCTTTGCCCATTTAATTGCCTTTTTATGTTTGAGTTGTAAGACTTCCTTCTATATTCTAAATGTAAGTCCCTTATCAGATAAATAATCTGTAAATATTTTATCCCATTCTATGGACTGTTTGCTTTCTAGATGGTGTTCTTCATAACACAAAAGTTTTTAATTTTGATAAAGTCAAATTTATCTATTTTCAATTTTGTTACTCATACTCTTGGTGGTGTCATATCTAAGAATCCTTTGCCAAATCCAAAGTCATGAAGATTTACCCCTATGTTTTCTTCTAAGGGTTCATAGACCATCTTTTTGGGGGCCACTATTCAACCCACTGTATACCCACTAAACAACCCATTATAATGGATAATTATTATTCAATTCCAACAAACTCCATGAGTACAGACCACACATTAAAGAGAGATGGGGAGGGGAGAGACAGATGATCAGTGGCTTGACAGTACTGATCCAGAAAGAACCTAGACATTTTCTTCTCCAGTAGTCTAGTTTATAAACAGATGACAAGTAGCCACATCTCAGAGTCATCAAGGAAGGCATACCCTCAAAAATGTCTCGCACATTCATTTCACTAATTAGTGACTATGTATGATATAATCCAAAGAGCAAAAGCTCCAAAGTCAAAGACCTGACCCACAGTAGGTGCCTAGTAAATATTAGCTTCTTTTTCTCTCCCCTTTAAAATGTAAGTATCTTCTTCACTGAAGAATAACCCTTATTAAGGTAGCCTTCCTTCACACCTACCTAAAATTAGCAACACTAAAGAAATAAGAGTATTGTCAGGGAATAGATACGAGGGGTGAACTTCAGGGTATGAGATAATTCTGGCAAAGCATCAGAAAGCTCTGGAAATCTGGGAAGAAAAAAAGAGATTCACAAAGCAGTGATGATCATTTCAATTGTTCCATAAGCAAGCTATAAGTGCTACTGGCATAGAGCAAAGAGTAATGGCATTGGTAACAATTTGAAAGGCAATAAGCCTTTGCTTTGCTGGTCCAAGGTAAACAGTCTCCACTCAATTCCTACTTCACTCTTTGGTTAAATTCTATATTTAATTGAAGATATTCCCTCTGTTAAGAGACTGAGCACCAGTATTACTCCTACAAACAAATATATAAACCACTGTGAAGTGCCAACATCAAACAGATATGTTATCCCAAAAAGTAATATCCAACTACTCAAAATAACTACCAATCGATTTATCCCACAGTGAATATCAACTTGAACTGCTTACCATTTCTGAAGACAGTAAAAGGCCACCTTTCCCAGATTCTCTACTAAAACAAAGAACTGATCAAATCTCTCCAACAAGACTACTAAGTTCCTAAGTAAATTAAGGTCAACTGTAAACCTGCTGGACTAGGAATAGTGTCAGTATTCAGATACTGTACAGGCATAAGCAACCACAACACTGCCCTGAAAAGTTGCAAAATCATACTCACATCCTCATATAAGTATGGCACACAAACCATGGAAGGGAAGGAAATACAGGATATCAAATCCTGCAAATGGCCTCTAAGTTATGTTCTTCACCTACACACTGCACTTCTCAATAACTACTATCCAAAGGTTGACTGATTGATTTTATTTTTTCTCTCACCTTTTTCTACATTGCTCAGGAATTTTTTAGTATTCTCCCAGTTCTGGGATCACATTCCACCCTTAGTTACCACTCTGTAACTTGTACAAGAAAAATTTCCCTCATATCTAAAAAATACAAAACTCCAAATTAAAACACTAATACATGGTCTCCTCTGATCTGAGTTACTAATAAAGTTTAACAGATCCTAACAATACAAGACTTAACCAGCAGATGCTATCATCCGACATGACAAACTCTCATCCCAAACGTCTTGAAACATGAATGACAGCCTAAGAACAAAACATTAGCGATTAGTCATAACTCAACCCCTTATTATGGCAAAGTGTTTTTAGGCTGTCTCCTGGTTTACGGCCAATGACTAATATTTATTCACAAAGTGCTGCCATACAATATTTACAAAGTATATTCACATATATTCTCTCATTGGAGCTCCACAATCTAATAACACAAGTTGTCATCATTCACATTTTACAGATGAGGAAACCAGCTGACGTGAAGTAACTTGTCCCCAGTAAGACAGCATGTCGAGTATTTGAGCTGGGACTCAAGCTAAGCTTTATATCTCTAAGCCTATTCTTGTTCCAAGACAATTGAGCTTTTCAGTAACACAGGAGGATATTTCTACGAAACTAACTGCTACTGCTTTAACAGCATAATCAGGGAAGTTACCCTCTCAGAAAACTGATACAGAGCCAAAGCAAGGCCCTCTGACCAAACCTGGGAATGCTCCAAGTCACCTGCCAAAGAAAGACCCCCTCTGAGTAACTGATGGGAGCTCTCCTTTGTTGCACATCTCGATGTTGAATAAATGTTAGTTACATACATATACATTACAAAGAAATAAAATTAACAATAAATTAGGTTTACAACTTTATTTCTCTCTAAGGAGCTGTCACTATTTGAGTGTATGTTCATTTTTTAAACATCAAAATCTAAAACAAACCTAAAGAAAAGGGCTTACCTGTTCACCTGCATCTTGAAACTCTTTGCATGCATCAGGGAACACATCATAAATAATGAGTGGATAGCCATGTTTCATGAGATTTTTTGCCATTGGATTCCCCATGTTGCCCAGTCCAATGAATCCAACTGGAGTCTTAGAAGCCATTGACCTAGAACATACTGATTTCAATACATTACTTTCAATAGGGACAAATAATATTGAATGAATATTTATAATAAAAAATGTTAAGTCAATTGTTATTTAGATGTTTTCTATAAAATAAACTTTTAAAAGGCTAGTTTTAAACTAATAACCTAATCACATTTAAAGATAGCAACGATGTGCAGGCAGACTAACATTTTAATTTGTTCTCCAGGAAACATTCATAAAATTTGAAGCAATCTCTCCTATTTTCTACCTTTATAACATGCCTTTACCATTTTTAACAATAAGCTCAATAACGTTTTTATAAAACACCTATTACATACTTTACCTATTATGTGAAATACTCTAGATTCTCACATATCTATACGATCTCTTTTAATAATGTGTATAAAAAACTGGAAGTATTCAATAAGACCTGTATCTTGGACCAGGTCCAAGAATGGAAAAGCTTTTCACCTTTCCAGTCCCACAATTATAGAAACCAACCCCTCCAATAGTATAAAAAAAAAACCACTTTAACAAAATGTTAAACCCAGGAGATTATATTTCAACTAAAAGTCACCAGTTTATAAATGTGGTCCTAGAGGAGGAGAGAAGGATGCTTCCATAGGCTTTAAATGACAAGGGTAACAGTATCAGGACCTTGGTCTAACACCTCTGCACATTCAGAAAAGAGGAATTTCCGTTTATTAAAAAGAAAAAAATTGTCCCTAAAAACCATATACAGGTTTTATTTTTTCTTTCTCATGAAAGGCTTTTTGAACTCACATTGGGGGCACATAATTCAATACTTTACAGAGTAAAGTCAATGCTTTACAGAGTGAGGGGGCTTTGCATTACCATGGAAATGACATTAGATGTAATTTCTCAGTCTCTAGATTTAGAACTCCACTCAACACTCACTGCATGAATTACTATGACAGAGCTCAGAGATGAACACAAGCAAGATACAATCCCTGCCTTCAAAAAGTTCACAATCTAGTGAGGGAAGAAAGAGAAATAATTCCACTTGCCCTTTCACTTCCTGGCTTTATTTTTCCTTTTTCTTTCAAGGACTCCAGTTTTTAAACTGTTTAGTGCAACAACTAGTCATAGTCACCCCTTTAAGTTTCAAGTCCTCTCAACTAATTGATCTCTGCTCTTCCCTGAACTTAATCTGAATGTAATGAGATTTCCTAAAAGCAAATTATTTGAAGCTCTAATGCTTAAGAAATAGAGGTCTTCTTGGGTTAGAAGCATATTTAATTCCTTTTAACTTGATGATTAACTCTAACACTTGCATTCAGTGTTAGGTGTCGTTCCTGTACATCATCTTACCAGTGCTAAGTTTAATACACTGGTTATAAAAAGAGTCCTTTGTCTGACTTTCTGACCCACAAAGGATTCAATGACAGAGAAATGACACCTAACTGAACTTTTATTTTGATATTAAACAGAATGAGAAGTGTATTTTGTAAGAGAACTCCAACGCTCATAAGCAAACAGTAGTAGCCTGAGAGAAAATGTAGCACTACAACTGTGCTAAGGCTGGAAAGGTAAAATTTAACAATCTAAAAACATTAGAAACTAGGAAAATTGTAATTTAAAGGCAATTAATTTAACAAGCAACTCACTCTAGGTTAAACAATAAGTATGGCACGGTAGAACCAAAATTCATTCACACATTCAACAAATAGATGCCACAGAAGACACAAAGGGAATACAGTCCTTGCCTTCAACAAGCTTAAAAATCCAAGAGGAAATAAACTATATATACAAACACTAATACAAAACAGTTAAGGATAAAGTATAAAAAAACAATGCTGATACAATAGGAGAATTCATGGTTTAGGAACCTGAAGACAGCATTGACCTGGGTATTTCTAGGATAGGTAGGATTTCAAATGGACAGAAAGGTATGAAGAAAGGGAACTCCATGTAGGAAAAGGAACTCAAGTACATGCAGGGAACCAGGAAAGCCAAGAAGAAATGAAAAATAATAATGGTTAATATTTATGGCAGTCTTACTACATACCAGACACTGTACTAAGCACCTTTTTAAATATCACTGTCATCATACACTGTCATTAAGCTCATCTTTCAGCTGAGAACCCTGATGCATAATGAGTTTAAGTCAAATGCCCAATCCTTTATTAAGTTGTAAAGCCAATATTCAAATCCAGCCAGTCTAGACTCTAAATTCCTCAGTTGTAACCACTGTGTGATACTGCCTTCCATTCTTCCTAGAAGATGCACAAAGAAAACAAAACAGTAGGAGATTAAGAATGAAAGAAATAATGTGACCATAAAGTGGAAGCATGCTAAACAATTTGTACTGTATTTTGTAGGCAAAAGGTAGTTATTGAAAAGTTGGGCAAGAGAAATGACGTGATCAGACTTGCGCTTCAGGAATAGAAACAAGGCAGCAATGTACAATGAATGAATTGAAAAAAGAGCCTGGAGGCAAGAGGACCAATATAAAAATGGCAGTAACACTCTAGATCTGTCTTAATTCAGGCTCCTATAACAAATATATCATAGACTGGGTGGCTTTAACAACAAACATTTATTTCTCACAGTTCTGGAAGCCAGGAAGTACAAAATCAAGGTGCCACCAGATCTGGTGTCTGGTAAGGCCCATTTTCTGGTTTGCAGTTGGCCATTTTCTCATTGTATCCTCACGTGGCAGAGAGCAGAAAGAGAGGACAAGCTCTCATGTCTCTTCATATAAGGACATTAATCCCATTCATGTGGGCTCTACCCTCATGACCTAATTTCCACCCCAAAGTCCCACCTCCAAATACCATCATATTGAAGATTAGAATATCAACATATGAATGGGGTGGGACATAAACATTCAGTCCATAACAAAGTCAAAGTTAATAAAGAATAGTAGCCATGAGAAAAGACAGGTATGAAAAATATTTCAAAGACATACAAGTAAAAAGGATGTAACAATAGACTGGATTATGGGCTACAATAAGGGAAACGTCAAAAATGACAGCAAGAGAATAGTAAGGTCAATAACCTAAGTGGAGAAATCAAGAAGAGTTGGCTCAGTTTTAAACAAGGTAACAATGAGCTTGTCAATGAGCTGAAAGATGTCCAATAGACTATTAGAAATATTATAACCAAGGCTTCAGAGACAAGAGAGAAAAGAGACATTTGGCAACCATCTTTTTCAAAGACAGAATTAAAATTGTGGGAGTTAACAAAATCACCAAATGAGAATAAATAGGCTGAATGACTCAAAGGTTGAACCTCTTCAAAGCCCAAGGGAACATGTATATTTAGAAATCAAAAAGAAAATAAAACCAACCCCGAACTGACTCAAATGTTAGAATTAGATGAAGACATTAAAAATTATAACTACAGTCTACATATTCCAAAAATATACTTTTAAAAATCCAAATTGGATTTCTTGGGATGAAATCTATAATGTGAGATGAAAATTACACTGGAATATTAACAGCAGAATAGACACTGCAGAAGAAAAGATTAATAACCTTGATGATACAGCAATAGAAACTATCCAAAATAAAACAGAAAAAGAAAAAAAGATTTAAATGAAAAGAGCATTAATGAGCTATGAGACAACTTCAACCAGCCCTATACATATGTAATTGGAGTCCCCAAATGAGAGGAGAGAAGTGGAAACAAAAAAAAATAAGTTAGAAACTAACTAATGGCCAAAAATTTTCCAAATTTGATGAAAACTATAAACCCCACACATGCAAGAAGCTCAATGAACCCCAACACAAGAATTATGAAAAGAAATATCCCAAGAAACGTCATAATCAAAATACTTTAAGGCAGCCAGAAGAAAAAAAGACAGCTTATTTACAGAGGAAAAAAGGTAAGGATAAAGCAGATTTCTCATCAGAAAAAAATGCAAGGAAGAAGACAATGAAGCAAAATCTTTAAAATACTGAAAGAAAAAACAACTGTCAAGGCAGAAATCTATATCCAGTAAAAACATACAAGTGTAAATATTTGTATATGTAAAGAGGCACGAGGAAATTTCAGGGGATGGACATGTTCACTATCTTGATTGTGGTGAGATGGCTTCACAGGTATACACAGATCAAAACTTATCAAACTGTATACTTTAAATATGTGCAGTTTATTGTATGTCATCTATATTACAAAAAAAGTTGTTTTTAAAAAGTCAACATCATGTTTATAGAAACAAACAAGAGGAAAAGATAGTTCTCAATTTAAAAATACTAAAGTGATATATCAACTTTAATGTATGACATTATAAAATATAATGTATGATGTTTGAAAGGACTGTTTTGAAAAAAACAGCTATAAAAGAAATTCTTAAAAGAATTATGGAATTTTGAATATAAACTGTATATTAGATGATACCATGGCATTATTGCTAATTGACTTAGGTGGGATAAAGGCAGTTTGGTTATGTTAGGAGAACGTTCTTATTCTTAGGAGATTCATGCCGAAATATTAGGGCTGAAGTGTCATAATGCCTGCAATTTACTTTCAAATTATGCAGGTGGGATATGTATATACATGAAAAGTAAATGTGGCAAAATGTTAACAATTGTTGACTCTAAGCAAAGAGTATATGGATGTTCACTATATTATTCTTTCAATATTTTCTGTTTGAAATTTTTTTTCACAATAAGACAGATATATGGAAAAAATACCACAAACAGATGACAAAACAAAAAACTAGAAAAAGTACTTCCATCACTTAATAGAAATAGGGCTACATTACTTTATATGCAAATAACTTTAAAATCTAAAAGAAAAATATGAATAATGCAATTTTTTTAGAGTAGGCAAAAATTTTAAAATGACAACAAAAAATATAAAAGTGACCCCCAAAAAACTTTGAAAATATACTCAACTTATAACTAGAGAAATGCAAAACAGAGCAATGCGATATAATTTTTCACCTATCAGATGGACAAATTGTTTTATTTCTTTGATAAAAACTACTATTGGCAAGAAAGGACTGATGAAAACACATAGTCTCATACACTGTAGAATTACATATCAAGTCAACCTTTTG